CTCCAAACGCAAGCCACATCCTCCCAGTTTGCATCCCTCCAAACGCAAGCCACATCCTCCCAGTTTGCATCCCTCCAAACGCAAGCCACATCCTCCCAGTTTGCATCCCTCCAAACGCAAGCCACATCCTCCCAGTTTGCATCCCTCCAAACGCAAGCCACATCCTCCCAGTTTGCATCCCTCCAAACGCAAGCCACATCCTCCCAGTTTGCATCCCTCAAAAGCCAATCCTCCAGTTGCATCCCTCCAAACGCAAGCCACATCCTCCCAGTTTGCATCCCTCCAAACGCAAGCCACATCCTCCCAGTTTGCATCCCTCCAAACGCAAGCCACATCCTCCCAGTTTGCATCCCTCCAAACGCAAGCCACATCCTCCCAGTTTGCATCCCTCCAAACGCAAGCCACATCCTCCCAGTTTGCATCCCTCCAAACGCAAGCCACATCCTCCCAGTTTGCATCCCTCCAAACGCAAGCCACATCCTCCCAGTTTGCATCCCTCCAAACGCAAGCCACATCCTCCCAGTTTGCATCCCTCCAAACGCAAGCCACATCCTCCCAGTTTGCATCCCTCCAAACGCAAGCCACATCCTCCCAGTTTGCATCCCTCCAAACGCAAGCCACATCCTCCCAGTTTGCATCCCTCCAAACGCAAGCCACATCCTCCCAGTTTGCATCCCTCCAAACGCAAGCCACATCCTCCCAGTTTGCATCCCTCCAAACGCAAGCCACATCCTCCCAGTTTGCATCCCTCCAAACGCAAGCCACATCCTCCCAGTTTGCATCCCTCCAAACGCAAGCCACATCCTCCCAGTTTGCATCCCTCCAAACGCAAGCCACATCCTCCCAGTTTGCATCCCTCCAAACGCAAGCCACATCCTCCCAGTTTGCATCCCTCCAAACGCAAGCCACATCCTCCCAGTTTGCATCCCTCCAAACGCAAGCCACATCCTCCCAGTTTGCATCCCTCCAAACGCAAGCCACATCCTCCCAGTTTGCATCCCTCCAAACGCAAGCCACATCCTCCCAGTTTGCATCCCTCCAAACGCAAGCCACATCCTCCCAGTTTGCATCCCTCCAAACGCAAGCCACATCCTCCCAGTTTGCATCCCTCCAAACGCAAGCCACATCCTCCCAGTTTGCATCCCTCCAAACGCAAGCCACATCCTCCCAGTTTGCATCCCTCCAAACGCAAGCCACATCCTCCCAGTTTGCATCCCTCCAAACGCAAGCCACATCCTCCCAGTTTGCATCCCTCCAAACGCAAGCCACATCCTCCCAGTTTGCATCCCTCCAAACGCAAGCCACATCCTCCCAGTTTGCATCCCTCCAAACGCAAGCCACATCCTCCCAGTTTGCATCCCTCCAAACGCAAGCCACATCCTCCCAGTTTGCATCCCTCCAAACGCAAGCCACATCCTCCCAGTTTGCATCCCTCCAAACGCAAGCCACATCCTCCCAGTTTGCATCCCTCCAAACGCAAGCCACATCCTCCCAGTTTGCATCCCTCCAAACGCAAGCCACATCCTCCCAGTTTGCATCCCTCCAAACGCAAGCCACATCCTCCCAGTTTGCATCCCTCCAAACGCAAGCCACATCCTCCCAGTTTGCATCCCTCCAAACGCAAGCCACATCCTCCCAGTTTGCATCCCTCCAAACGCAAGCCACATCCTCCCAGTTTGCATCCCTCCAAACGCAAGCCACATCCTCCCAGTTTGCATCCCTCCAAACGCAAGCCACATCCTCCCAGTTTGCATCCCTCCAAACGCAAGCCACATCCTCCCAGTTTGCATCCCTCCAAACGCAAGCCACATCCTCCCAGTTTGCATCCCTCCAAACGCAAGCCACATCCTCCCAGTTTGCATCCCTCCAAACGCAAGCCACATCCTCCCAGTTTGCATCCCTCCAAACGCAAGCCACATCCTCCCAGTTTGCATCCCTCCAAACGCAAGCCACATCCTCCCAGTTTGCATCCCTCCAAACGCAAGCCACATCCTCCCAGTTTGCATCCCTCCAAACGCAAGCCACATCCTCCCAGTTTGCATCCCTCCAAACGCAAGCCACATCCTCCCAGTTTGCATCCCTCCAAACGCAAGCCACATCCTCCCAGTTTGCATCCCTCCAAACGCAAGCCACATCCTCCCAGTTTGCATCCCTCCAAACGCAAGCCACATCCTCCCAGTTTGCATCCCTCCAAACGCAAGCCACATCCTCCCAGTTTGCATCCCTCCAAACGCAAGCCACATCCTCCCAGTTTGCATCCCTCCAAACGCAAGCCACATCCTCCCAGTTTGCATCCCTCCAAACGCAAGCCACATCCTCCCAGTTTGCATCCCTCCAAACGCAAGCCACATCCTCCCAGTTTGCATCCCTCCAAACGCAAGCCACATCCTCCCAGTTTGCATCCCTCCAAACGCAAGCCACATCCTCCCAGTTTGCATCCCTCCAAACGCAAGCCACATCCTCCCAGTTTGCATCCCTCCAAACGCAAGCCACATCCTCCCAGTTTGCATCCCTCCAAACGCAAGCCACATCCTCCCAGTTTGCATCCCTCCAAACGCAAGCCACATCCTCCCAGTTTGCATCCCTCCAAACGCAAGCCACATCCTCCCAGTTTGCATCCCTCCAAACGCAAGCCACATCCTCCCAGTTTGCATCCCTCCAAACGCAAGCCACATCCTCCCAGTTTGCATCCCTCCAAACGCAAGCCACATCCTCCCAGTTTGCATCCCTCCAAACGCAAGCCACATCCTCCCAGTTTGCATCCCTCCAAACGCAAGCCACATCCTCCCAGTTTGCATCCCTCCAAACGCAAGCCACATCCTCCCAGTTTGCATCCCTCCAAACGCAAGCCACATCCTCCCAGTTTGCATCCCTCCAAACGCAAGCCACATCCTCCCAGTTTGCATCCCTCCAAACGCAAGCCACATCCTCCCAGTTTGCATCCCTCCAAACGCAAGCCACATCCTCCCAGTTTGCATCCCTCCAAACGCAAGCCACATCCTCCCAGTTTGCATCCCTCCAAACGCAAGCCACATCCTCCCAGTTTGCATCCCTCCAAACGCAAGCCACATCCTCCCAGTTTGCATCCCTCCAAACGCAAGCCACATCCTCCCAGTTTGCATCCCTCCAAACGCAAGCCACATCCTCCCAGTTTGCATCCCTCCAAACGCAAGCCACATCCTCCCAGTTTGCATCCCTCCAAACGCAAGCCACATCCTCCCAGTTTGCATCCCTCCAAACGCAAGCCACATCCTCCCAGTTTGCATCCCTCCAAACGCAAGCCACATCCTCCCAGTTTGCATCCCTCCAAACGCAAGCCACATCCTCCCAGTTTGCATCCCTCCAAACGCAAGCCACATCCTCCCAGTTTGCATCCCTCCAAACGCAAGCCACATCCTCCCAGTTTGCATCCCTCCAAACGCAAGCCACATCCTCCCAGTTTGCATCCCTCCAAACGCAAGCCACATCCTCCCAGTTTGCATCCCTCCAAACGCAAGCCACATCCTCCCAGTTTGCATCCCTCCAAACGCAAGCCACATCCTCCCAGTTTGCATCCCTCCAAACGCAAGCCACATCCTCCCAGTTTGCATCCCTCCAAACGCAAGCCACATCCTCCCAGTTTGCATCCCTCCAAACGCAAGCCACATCCTCCCAGTTTGCATCCCTCCAAACGCAAGCCACATCCTCCCAGTTTGCATCCCTCCAAACGCAAGCCACATCCTCCCAGTTTGCATCCCTCCAAACGCAAGCCACATCCTCCCAGTTTGCATCCCTCCAAACGCAAGCCACATCCTCCCAGTTTGCATCCCTCCAAACGCAAGCCACATCCTCCCAGTTTGCATCCCTCCAAACGCAAGCCACATCCTCCCAGTTTGCATCCCTCCAAACGCAAGCCACATCCTCCCAGTTTGCATCCCTCCAAACGCAAGCCACATCCTCCCAGTTTGCATCCCTCCAAACGCAAGCCACATCCTCCCAGTTTGCATCCCTCCAAACGCAAGCCACATCCTCCCAGTTTGCATCCCTCCAAACGCAAGCCACATCCTCCCAGTTTGCATCCCTCCAAACGCAAGCCACATCCTCCCAGTTTGCATCCCTCCAAACGCAAGCCACATCCTCCCAGTTTGCATCCCTCCAAACGCAAGCCACATCCTCCCAGTTTGCATCCCTCCAAACGCAAGCCACATCCTCCCAGTTTGCATCCCTCCAAACGCAAGCCACATCCTCCCAGTTTGCATCCCTCCAAACGCAAGCCACATCCTCCCAGTTTGCATCCCTCCAAACGCAAGCCACATCCTCCCAGTTTGCATCCCTCCAAACGCAAGCCACATCCTCCCAGTTTGCATCCCTCCAAACGCAAGCCACATCCTCCCAGTTTGCATCCCTCCAAACGCAAGCCACATCCTCCCAGTTTGCATCCCTCCAAACGCAAGCCACATCCTCCCAGTTTGCATCCCTCCAAACGCAAGCCACATCCTCCCAGTTTGCATCCCTCCAAACGCAAGCCACATCCTCCCAGTTTGCATCCCTCCAAACGCAAGCCACATCCTCCCAGTTTGCATCCCTCCAAACGCAAGCCACATCCTCCCAGTTTGCATCCCTCCAAACGCAAGCCACATCCTCCCAGTTTGCATCCCTCCAAACGCAAGCCACATCCTCCCAGTTTGCATCCCTCCAAACGCAAGCCACATCCTCCCAGTTTGCATCCCTCCAAACGCAAGCCACATCCTCCCAGTTTGCATCCCTCCAAACGCAAGCCACATCCTCCCAGTTTGCATCCCTCCAAACGCAAGCCACATCCTCCCAGTTTGCATCCCTCCAAACGCAAGAGAATTGAGAGGAAACAAAGACAAAAGGGCTGAAAATCCAGGAGGACAATCAAGGGTCACTGACTAAAACACGCACACACTTTAGTAACTTTTGCAAGAAACTTGGACCGAGTTTGAAGGATTGGTTTGCAAGACAGGGGAAGCCTTCTGTGTTGCACCTCTCGAACTCACCAATGCAAGAAAGTTTGTCAGGAGATAGTGTGTAGGTAGTGCTGCAATTGCAGGATGGATTTCCGTTCGCATCCAGAATGCAATTGTTGCCAGGCCCACAGTCCACCGCAGCACAGTTGCCTGCAAAATGCGAGATCCAGGCCAGTGAAAGGATGATTCAATATCAAGACACCGTGACACCCAGATTTTGGCCATCAAGGGTCATAGAGTTGAAAACACATGGAATTATGTAACCAAAAAAGAATTATAAGTTGAAGGGAGGCCAGGTTTAAAGGACGCGCAAAGCATGCCCTCCATGTTGCACCCTTCCCATCCAACTCACCAATGCAAGAGAGTTTGTCAGAAGACGGCGCGAAGCCAGTGCTGCAACTACAGGATGGATTTCCGCTCTCATCCCTCGTGCACTTGCCACCAGGCCCACAATTCACCGCATCACAGTTATCTGCGGATAAAGATTCTGAGGCAAGTGGAAGGAGATTATAAAGTCATACAAACGATCATACTCAAAGCTTGACAATAATAACGTTGCACAACTAGCACCCGACGAGCAGCATAAAACACAGCATTCAGAATCTGAAACACAGAGATGGGAGTGTACCAGGTGTGACGAGTGTAGCGATACAAGGGATGAGTAGATTAGGAAAAGGTACGAGGAGCATGGTAGCTGAAAAAACTGTAGCGCAGTGGTTCCTTTCAGCACAGGAGCAAACCTCAGCACAGGAGCACCTATGAGCAGAGGAGAACCTTTGAGCAGAGGAGCACCTTTGAACACAGGAGCACCTTTGAACACAGGAGCACCTTTGAACACAGGAGCACCTTTCAACACAGGAGCACCTTTGAACACAGGAGCACCTTTGAACACAGGAGCACCTAAAGGACTATGTTTCACAAGGAAGGCATGCCCTCTATGTTGCACCCAACGACTCACCAATGCAAGAGAGCTTGTCAGAAGACGGCGTGAAGCCAGTGCTGCAACTACAGAATCCATCTCCGTTCGCATCCTTCGTGCAGTTGCCGCCAGGCCCACACTTCACCGCGTCACAGTTGTCTGCGGATAAAGATTCTGAGGCAAGCAGAAGAATGGTATAAAATCAGAAACTTATGATACCCAGATGTTGACAATTAGGGGCCACCGATTTAAGGACTCCGACAATTTTGAAACACTCGCATCTTGATTAAGTTAAGGGAAGTCAAGTTTCAAGGACTGGCATTGAAACACAAACCCCGGCATCTGTGCTGCAGCCCTCCAACTCACCAATGCAAGAGAGCTTGTCAGAAGACGGCGTGAAGCCAATGCTGCAACTACAGAATGCATCTCCGTTCGCATCCTTCGTGCAGTTGCCGCCAGGCCCACACTTCACCGAATCACAGTTGTCTGCGGATAAAGATTCTGAGGCACGCAGAAGAATGGTATAAAATCAGACACTTATGACGCCCAGATCTTGACAATCCGGGGCCACAGATTTAAGAAATAGTGCAATTTTGAAACACTTGCATATTGATTGAGTTGGGTTTGAAACAAAAAGTCCGGAATCTGTGCTGCAGCCCTCCAACTCACCAATGCAAGAGAGTTTGTCAGAAGACGGCATGAAGCCAGTGCTGCAACTACAGGATGGATCTCCGCTCTCATCCCTCGTGCAGTTGTTGCCAGGCCCACAATTCACCGCATCACAGTTGTCTGCAGAAAAAAAGCCCAGGCAAGTAGAAGGATTCAATACTATTGGAGACACGACAAAAATTACATCTTGACAACCAAGGGTCACAGAGTTGAAAACAGACACAGATCAGCAACGTTTGCAAAAATCAGGAGCAGAAAGGGAGATAGGTCAAGATTCAAGGGTTGGGTTTATACCGCAAGGCACGCCCTCTGTGTTGCACTTCTCCAACTCACCAATGCAAGAGAGCTTGTCAGAAGACGGCGTGAAGCCAGTGCTGCAACTACAGAATGCATCTCCGTTTGCATCCTTCGTGCAGTTGCCGCCAGGCCCACACTTCACCGAATCACAGTTGTCTGCGGATAAAGATTCTGAGGCACGCAGAAGAATGGTATAAAATCAGACACTTATGACGCCCAGATCTTGACAATCCGGGGCCACAGATTTAAGAAATAGTGCAATTTTGAAACACTTGCATATTGATTGAGTTGGGTTTGAAACAAAAAGTCCGGAATCTGTGCTGCAGCCCTCCAACTCACCAATGCAAGAGAGTTTGTCAGAAGACGGCGTGAAGCCAGTGCCGCAACTACAGGATGGATCTCCGTTTTCATCCCTCGTGCAGTTGTTGCCAGGCCCACAATTCACCGCATCACAGTTGTCTGGAGAAAAAAAGCCCAAGCAAGTAGAAAGAAATAATACTTTTGGAGACACGACAAAAATTACATCTTGAAAATCAAGGGTCACAGAGTTGAAAACAGACACAGATCAGCAACGCTTGCAAAAACTCAAGAGCTGAACGGAAGGAGGTCAAGATTCAAGGGGTGGGTGTAGATTGCAAGGCACGCCCTTTGTGTTGCACTTCTCCAACTCACCAATGCAAGAGAGCTTGTCAGAAGACGGCGTGAAGCCATTGCTGCAACTACAGAAGGCATCTCCGTTCGCATCCTTCGTGCAGTTGCCGCCAGGCCCACACTTCACCGAAACACAGTTGCCTGCGGATAAAGATTCTGAGGCACGCAGAAGAATGGTATAAAATCAGAAACTTATGACGCCCAGATCTTGACAATCCAGGGCCACAGAATTAAGAAATAGTGCAATTTTGAAACAATTGCATATTGATTGAGTTGGGGGAGGTCAAGTTTCAAGGACTGGGTTTGAAACAAAAAGCCCGGAATCTGTGCTGCAGCCCTCCAACTCACCAATGCAAGAGAGTTTGTCAGAAGACGGCATGAAGCCAGTGCTGCAACTACAGGATGGATCTCCGCTCTCATCCCTCGTGCACTTGTTGCCAGGCCCACAATTCACCGCATCACAGTTGTCTGCAGAAAAAAAGCCCAGGCAAGTAGAAGGATTCAATACTATTGGAGACACGACAGAAATTACATCTTGACAACCAAGGGTCACAGAGTTGAAAAAAGACACAGATCAGCAACGTTTGCAAAAATCAGGGAGCAGAAAGGGAGGCAGGTCAAGATTCAAGGGTTGGGTTTATACCGCAAGGCACGCCCTCTGTGTTGCACTTCTCCAACTCACCAATGCAAGAGAGCTTGTCAGAAGACGGCGTGAAGCCATTGCTGCAACTACAGAAGGCATCTCCGTTCGCATCCTTCGTGCAGTTGCCGCGAGGCCCACACTTCAACGAAACACAGTTGCCTGCGGATAAAGATTCTGAGGCACACAGAAGAATGGTATAAAATCAGAAACTTATGACGCCCAGATCTTGACAATCCAGGGCCACAGAATTAAGAAATAGTGCAATTTTGAAACAATTGCATATTGATTGAGTTGGGGGAGGTCAAGTTTCAAGGACTGGGTTTGAAACAAAAAGCCCGGAATCTGTGCTGCAGCCCTCCAACTCACCAATGCAAGAGAGTTTGTCAGAAGACGGCATGAAGCCAGTGCTGCAACTACAGGATGGATCTCCGCTCTCATCCCTCGTGCAGTTGTTGCCAGGCCCACAATTCACCGCATCACAGTTGTCTGCAGAAAAAAAGCCCAGGCAAGTAGAAGGATTCAATACTATTGGAGACACGACAAAATTTACATCTTGACAACCAAGGGTCACAGAGTTGAAAACAGACACAGATCAGCAACGTTTGCAAAAATCAGGAGCAGAAAGGGAGATAGGTCAAGATTCAAGGGTTGGGTTTATACCGCAAGGCACGCCCTCTGTGTTGCACTTCTCCAACTCACCAATGCAAGAGAGCTTGTCAGAAGACGGCGTGAAGCCAGTGCTGCAACTACAGAATGCATCTCCGTTTGCATCCTTCGTGCAGTTGCCGCCAGGCCCACACTTCACCGAATCACAGTTGTCTGCGGATAAAGATTCTGAGGCACGCGGAAGAATGATATAAAATCAGAAACTTATGACGCCCAGATCTTGACAATCCAGGGCCACAGAATTAAGAAATAGTGCAATTTGAAACAATTGCATATTGATTGAGTTGGGGGAGGTCAAGTTTCAAGGACTGGGTTTGAAACAAAAAGCCCGGAATCTGTGCTGCAGCCCTCCAACTCACCAATGCAAGAGAGTTTGTCAGAAGACGGCATGAAGCCAGTGCTGCAACTACAGGATGGATCTCCGCTCTCATCCCTCGTGCAGTTGTTGCCAGGGCCACAATTCACCGCATCACAGTTGTCTGCAGAAAAAAAGCCCAGGCAAGTAGAAGGATTCAATACTATTGGAGACACGACAAAAATTACATCTTGACAACCAAGGGTCACAGAGTTGAAAACAGACACAGATCAGCAACGTTTGCAAAAATCAAGAGCTGAAAGGGAGGCAGGTCAAGATTCAAGGGCTGGGTGTAGATTGCAAGGCACGCCCTCTGTGTTGCACTTCTCCAACTCACCAATGCAAGAGAGCTTGTCAGAAGACGGCGTGAAGCCAGTGCTGCAACTACAGAATGCATCTCCGTTCGCATCCTTCGTGCAGTTGCCGCCAGGCCCACACTTCACCGAATCACAGTTGCCTGCGGATAAAGATTCTGAGGCACGCGGAAGAATGGTATAAAATCAGAAACTTATGACGCCCAGATCTTGACAATCCAGGGCCACAGATTTAAGAAATAGTGCAAATTTGAAACACTTGCATATTGATTGAGTTGGGGGAGGTCAAGTTTCAAGGACTGGGTTTGAAACAAAAAGCCCGGAATTTGTGCTGCAGCCCTCCAACTCACCAATGCAAGAGAGTTTGTCAGAAGACGGCGTGAAGCCAGTGCTGCAACTACAGGATGGATCTCCGCTCTCATCCCTCGTGCAGTTGTTGCCAGGGCCACAATTCACCGCATCACAGTTGTCTGCAGAAAAAAAGCCCAGGCAAGTAGAAGGATTCAATACTATTGGAGACACGACAAAAATTACATCTTGACAACCAAGGGTCACAGAGTTGAAAACAGACACAGATCAGCAACGCTTGCAAAAATCAGGAGCAGAAAGGGAGGCAGGTCAAGATTCAAGGGTTGGGTTTATACCGCAAGGCACGCCCTCTGTGTTGCACTTCTCCAACTCACCAATGCAAGAGAGCTTGTCAGAAGACGGCGTGAAGCCATTGCTGCAACTACAGAAGGCATCTCCGTTCACATCCTTCGTGCAGTTGCCGCCAGGCCCACACTTCACCGAAACACAGTTGCCTGCGGATAAAGATTCTGAGGCACGCAGAAGAATGGTATAAAATCAGAAACTTATGACGCCCAGATCTTGACAATCCAGGGCCACAGAATTAAGAAATAGTGCAATTTTGAAACAATTGCATATTGATTGAGTTGGGGGAGGTCAAGTTTCAAGGACTGGGTTTGAAACAAAAAGCCCGGAATCTGTGCTGCAGCCCTCCAACTCACCAATGCAAGAGAGTTTGTCAGAAGACGGCATGAAGCCAGTGCTGCAACTACAGGATGGATCTCCGCTCTCATCCCTCGTGCAGTTGTTGCCAGGGCCACAATTCACCGCATATAATAGAGACAGTAAGAGCAGAAGACAGAAGAAAAGACGAGAAAGTATCTCTAGCTGCGTACCATAGCAAGTGCCATTCAGCGCAGCAAAGCCGGGGTTGCACTTTTGAGGCGCCTCAAAAGTACCATGGCAAGTGCCATTTCTTGCAACAAAGCCCGCGTTGCATGCACAGGTGACGCCCTTGCTGTCACTCGTTGGCATGCACGTGGAGTTGCTCGGACACGTGGCGTGCTCGCAGGTGATGTCTGCCATGGGGGACAGCAGTAGAAGGGATGTGTGCAGCGAGGGAGGCAAAACCACAGGCATGGAGTTGATTGAGCATATGCAGAACGCTCGTTTTCATAAAGGAGATGCTGTGTGCGGCAAGGTGGCAAGGAGGCATGGTGGAAAAGGAGGCAAGGAGGCAAGTGACCAGGGCAAGGAGGCAAGGGACCAGGGCAAGGAGGCAAGTGACCAGGGCAAGGAGGCAAGTGACCAGGGCAAGGAGGCAAGTGACCAGGGCAAGGAGGCAAGTGACCAGGGCAAGGAGGCAAGTGACCAGGGCAAGGAGGCAAGTGACCAGGGCAAGGAGGCAAGTGACCAGGGCAAGGAGGCAAGTGACCAGGGCAAGGAGGCAAGTGACCAGGGCAAGGAGGCAAGTGACCAGGGCAAGGAGGCGATGTGAGGTGTACGCAACGAGGCAAAGAGACAAGGCAAGGAGGCACGCACCAGGCTTGCAGGAAACAGAAGTCCATCGGGAGATCTTCTTTGTGCTGCAAGCACGTCAGAAGCACGTTCAGATCAAACACTTTCAAAGAGACGTTGGAAACACGTTAGGTCAGCACAACCCGAGGCTTGATAGTGGCATTGTCACCCACCAGCCATCACCCACCAGCCATCACCCACCAGCCATCACCCACCAGCCATCACCCACCAGCCATCACCCACCAGCCATCACCCACCAGCCATCACCCACCAGCCATCACCCTCCTGCCCCATCACCCTCCTGCCCCATCACCCTCCTGCCCCATCACCCTCCTGCCCCATCACCCTCCTGCCCCATCACCCTCCTGCCCCATCACCCTCCTGCTCCAATCACCCACATGCCTCCCCACGTGCCCCCACGACCCACCTGGGCACGTTGAAGAATTTGCGCAGGCCGGCGTATTGCGGCTTGAGCACCTCATCCAGCGCCTTGCCCTTGCAGGCGGGGTTGGCAAAGAACCGCAGCTGCTTGCACGCCGCTCCCGCCGCCCGCCCCTCCATGCCCGCCTCCTTCCCACGCGAACTCCCCAAGTCATTGCTCACGCCATTGCTGCCGCTCTTGCTTCCGCCCTTGTTGCCGCCCGTAAGCCCGTTCCACCACACCTGCACGCCGCGGCCCGCCTTGAGAGCCCTGAGCGCGGCTTTGGGGAAGCTGAAGCAGCGGAGGGCGTCGAAGGTGACGTTGAGGCTGACGCCCGACACCGTGATCTGCGTGCCCACCGCCACCCTCGCCTCCACCGCCCCGCCGCCGCTGCCAACTTTCACGCCGACCCCCACCCGCGTGCTCCCATTTCTGCTTCCCCCCGTGCTCTCGATTCTGAGGTTTCTGGCAGACATCATAGACTCGCTTGCGCCGCCCCTTCTGCCGCGCACTCGCGGCACGCCGCGCGCGTTAGTAGTGAGGCGATCGCCTGCCGCCGCGTGAGCCGTGGCGATCGCTGGATGCAGAGGGGCGGTGAGAGGTAGCAGAAGGGTGAGAGGGAGCAGAGGGTGCGAGGAAGGGCAGAACGTACGCGCTTCTCAACTTGAGAAAAGGCGGGAGCCGAAGATATAACTTGAGAAAAAGCGGGAGCTCTATAGACCAGGATGGATCAAAATTCGAACCCGCGCCTTCAGCGCACCACCAAACTGGCAGTTTACAACAGTACTTCAACGAAGCGCGATACTCTTAATGAGTAGTCTCGCACTGACAAGAACCGCCAACATCAAGTATCCGAACACTCGTCTCCTACAAGCGAATAATCACGGTTATTTGGCGGGATAGATTTAGGCTAGGTCAGGAATTTGTGTGTGTGTGCGTGTGCGTGTGCGTGTGCGTGTGCGTGCGCGTGCGCGTGCGCGTGCGCGTGCGCGTGCGCGTGCGCGTGTGCGTGTGCGTGTGCGTGTGTGTGTGTGTGTGTGTGTGTGTGTGTGTGTGTGTGTGTGTGTGTGTGTGTGTGTGTGTGTGTGTGTGTGTGTGTGTGTGTGTGTGTGTGTGTGTGTGTGTGTGTGTTTTTTTTTTTTTTTCAGTTACCCATATCTGTCTAGGAAGCTCAGATGTCCTGGAAGTGACTTTTGGGACAGTCTCATGCTAAGTTTAGGGCAGGTTAAGGTACTAGGCGTCACTTTCGTGTCAGATCTAGGTTAGCAACACTCTGGTGATGGCTCACCGCAGATGACGGCGAGGACGAAGAGAAACAGGAGAGGAGAAGTGGACATGGCGACTCAAAGCTCACCGCAGATGACGGCAAGGACGAGGAGAAACAGGAGAGGAGAAGTGGACATGGCGACTCAAAGCTCACCGCAGATGACGGCAAGGACGAGGAGCGGAAGCAGCGTGGCAGGATAGGAGGCCATGATGGGGTCAGCCCGTCACGTGACGTCAGCTGGGTACCAGCACCCGCAACCGAGTCACGAGAGTCGCGCCGCGTTCGTCGACAACCGACAAGCTCTTGGGTGACGCGGCCACTTGTCGCACGCCGCGTGACGCACGGGCAATGAATAGCGCAATGCTAGGCAAAGATGGTCGTGATACAATGTTATCGCGATGGTACAACACGAGGCTAGTAGTGGTATATAGAAATAGTACGATACTACATGTGGTATCATATCATAGTACGAAGGTATAGCTGCTGGCGCTGCTACTATCATACAGCACGACAGAAGTGGCGGAAGAGACGTTTCCATGGCTTCTCTGGCGGGTGGTTTATAGAAAAATTCGTTCTCTCCCAGTGGGAGAGCCCAACTCTCAAGCTGGCAGTCCGTAGGAGGCGCTACTACTGGGAACGCGATCAGGTGGCTGGAATGGTCACTATGGGTCTGGAGGCTTGGTGCTGAATATCAAGTGTGATTCCAACGCGATCGTTGGTTTGCGCTGGCAGCCAGCCAGCCACTGAGAACGGTGATGGAGCTTTACATTACCGAGTTAACAACGTCGCAGCCTATCACAGCGCAAGCAGCTGAATTATTGCGAGTCTGATCCTCCCGCAAGTTTCGCTGCTCGCACATCCTTTGCTCCAGGTTCACGTTTCCTGTGGTCAGCCCTTCCCGCGCGATGTTCGCAAAGAACTCCTGAGTGATACCAAGGAGGGACGAATTCAGCCTTCGCGACAGATGACGAATCGCAGTGCGCATTAGCGAGGCAACGAAAGCAGGTCGTGATAGATATGCGACATGTGCCTAGCAATTGGCAGATTGCTGATTGGCATCTCCCTTATTGGCAGCTCGCTTGCATGAATTGCTTGAAGTAGAAAATATAATACTAAATACTACGATACCACCAGGTTTGACATACGAAGTGTTGTGATTGTCTCAGCCCTAGGTCTGAGGCTGTAGTTAATACGCTATACAAATCCGGGAATTTTGGCATTGTTACGCTTCACATGACAGAGTATTGCCAACGACATACATTACTGATATTCTGACATTACATGCGTCTGGGAACACATGCAATAGGGCCTAAGTATACAGTGATAGCCTTGAATTTCCCGTTCAAAAAAAAATCCGCTCCACCTGCAGCACGTAAACGGAAGTTGAAACAAGAATGTCAAACACATAGATCTAATATCCTCGTGTACGAAAGAGCACATAAGGACTGTAGCAAGCAAGTTGTGGCATGAGTCACGAGTCATGACGCACCAGGCAGGGACCAGAAGGTGCGATGGAGCGAGCAAGGTGCTCCAAGTGGTGCATGGGAGTGTTGCACGGCAGGTACATGGCCACTGATGGGGCGATGCTCAGTGCCAGCTGCAGCAGCGCAGAGCTGGGGGGAGGGGAAGGAGCGAAGGAGACAAAGGTAGTATAGAGGATGAAGTGGTAAAAAGTGGTGCATGGGAGTGTTGCACGACATTGATGGGGGGGTGCTCAGCGATAGCTGCAGTAGTGCAACGCTGGATGAAGGGGAAACGGCCAAGGAGGAAATGTGGTATAGAGGGCGACATGCGCTTGTAAACTGTTATACAGTCTACTGCAATGTCAGAATTGAGAGACGGAAGAAAGGCATTCGAGGACGGCACGTACGCGCTGACTGGCTGCAGCATGCTCCATATGTCGTACTCTGATTGGTCAAAATACTCGGGGCCACCCCATGGCGGGGACAGGAAGACCACATCAGCCTGCCCTGCAGAACAAGGTTAAGGCACGACACGGACACGGGGGGTGGAAGAATGGCACGGGGTTGGATGCATGGGGAAGAGATTGGGGGTGGGAGCATAGAGAGAGGGAGAAGGGCGGTTGGGAGCATGGATGCATGAGGGCAAGGGAGCATGCGAACATGAGGCCAGGTAGCATGGGGGCATGTGGGTAACGGAGTATGGGAGGCATGGCAGCATCAACCACATCAAGTAGCCCTTATAAGAAAACAAGCCAAATGCAAAACAGCAGAGTTCTTATGCAGAAGGACATGCGGCAGCACCGAAACATATGATGGATGGAAAACTGCAGGGATGGGCATGCATGGATATGCGTGGGCATGGGTATGCGTAGGCATGGGTATGCGTGGGCATGGATATGCGTGGGCATGGATATGAATGGGCATGTATGCGTGGACTTGGGTGTGCGTGGCCACATGGATGTCAGGGCATCCGAACCTGGGAGCAAGCGAATGAAAAACAAGGATGCTGATGCATGGGATGTCGACGCATGGCGATAACGGGAGATGCAATCACATGTGGGCATATACATCGCATCGGCCCATGCAGGCCCTCAGGAATCCTCACATGACGTGTGCACACGGTGCAAGGGAGAGGAAGTTGGCACAAAGTGCATTCACTCGGTGGGGCGGACCCGGGGCTCACTGTGAGAGTGCTCACACTGAGAGTGCTGTGTGGGTTGCAGTTCAAACCATAAGGCACCTCACAAACCTTCCCATGCCTCGCGTATGCAGCCCTCACCTTAAGGATCCGACTTGAACCATCCACCACTAAGAGGAGCATACTGGTTCTCCCCTGGCTCATGCATGCAGCCCCTCACCTTAAGCTGTGGCGCTACACACAGGAAGTCGGCGCAAAGAGCATCCACTCGGTGGGGCAGGTGGGCGCCATAGAGGGCGAGGTTGTATTGCAGCATGGCCAGGCGCAGCAGACTCATATCAACAGCCAGCACGTGAGGGCAGCTGAGAGGTGCGAGGGTGGGGTCGGCAGGTGGGGAGTGAGGAGCAGAGAGATAGAGGTTGTGGTGCATCATGGGTAGGTGAGGCAGGCTCATGTCAACAGCTAGCACGTGGGGGCAGTTGCGAGGGGACGACGGGTTCAATTCATGGTTGGGGGTGCGGAGGAGAGAGAAACAGGTCGGGTAGACATGTGGAGGTACAGGGGCTATAGAGGGCGAGGTTGTATTGCGGCATGGGCAGGCGATGCAATCAACAGCCAGCACGTGGGGGCAGCTGAGAGGGGTTACAGTTGGGGGTTGGTGGGTGGGGGGTGAGGAGCAGAGAGATGAGGTCAGGTGGAGATGTGGAGGAACACGGTGACGTGGAATGAGAGGCTGCTGTGCAGTATGGGTAGGCGAGGCAGGCTCATGTCAATGGCCAGCTCGTGGGGCAGCTGGTTGTAAGAGGATATGGGGAAAGGGAATGGGAAGTGCGACAGGGTGCAATGTGGAAGCATATGCTGTGGTGTGGTTGTGGGATAGAGATATACAAGCAAGGAAGATTGTTCAAGCTGCATGGTCTTGCTCACCCTTGAGTCGACTCAAAAGCAGTGTGGAAGAGAATGGTGTGGCATGGAGATATACAAGCAAGGAAGATTGTTCGAGGTACATGGTCTTGCTCACCCACCTCCCACAGAACCATCCCCCACTGGGCTGTCAACCCACTCAACAAACCCCCCCACAAAGAATCCATACTCTCATCGGTCGTCCCCCCCTCACCAAGGGTTGGTTACTGGGCCATTATATGTCACTGGGTTACGGGATAGATAACCCTAAACTACTGGGCAGTCAGCTCAATTAGCCCTACTAGCGGCCTTCCTCCATAGTGTCAAATTCACAGCTTGGCCAGGTGGATGGTGTTGCCGCCCACCCTACATAAGGCAGAGGGGAAAAAGTTACTGCGTAACTGGATAACCCTAGAGCACTAGGCAGTGAGCTCAGCTATCCCTAAAAGGCCCCCAAACCCTTAGAGTTAGACCACAGCTCGGCCAGGTGGATGGTGTTGCCGCCCACCCCACAGAAGGCATCCACCACCACGCCTGCCCCACCCTCCACAACTTCTGCACCCCCCACCCCTGCTCCACCCCTCGTGCCCGCTACACGCTCACAACTCTCCTTGCGCCTTCCACTCCCAAACCTCCCTCCATTCAGAAAGCTGCCTCTTGGTTCCTCTTCTCCTCCCATGCCTGCTGCACCCCCCACGACTGCTGCGTGCTCACAACGCTGCTCGCGTGCTCCATCCCCACACCTTTCTCCATCCCCACACCTTTCTCCGTCCAGGAAGCTATCTCTTGGTTCCTCTTCTCCTCCCATGCCTGCTGCACCCCCCACGACTGCTGCGTGCTCACAACGCTGCTCGCCTGCTCCATCCCCACACCTTTCTCCATCCCCACACCTTTCTCCGTCCAGGAAGCTATCTCTTGGTTCCTCTTCTCCTCCCTGTCTTCCCATCGCCTCACCTTCCCCCTTCCCCTCCTCCTCCCCCGCTTTTACTTGGACCCCACTCTGCTCTAAAACCTCTTCCTTAGAGCTTGGCAGTGCAGTGTGGCCATCACACGTGGCAATAGCACACGTGGCAGCAGAACGCGTGGCAGCACCATCTTCTACACATGTGGCTTCACCATCTCCTGCCGGCATCCCAGCACCACCGCCTACTGCTGACGTGGCAGCATCATCCCTTAGACAAGTGGCATCATCACAATCCACAGCAGCAGCGCACATGGCAGCGTGGTGGCCAGCAATGGCCTCAGGAGTGACAAGGGGTGCGTCAGTATCCAATAGGACGCCCTCATCGAACCTCGAAAACAGACCATACCGCTGCTGCCAGTATTTCTCATACCCCGCTGCCACAGCCTCACCTGCTACAGCCTCCCCTGCTACCGCCTCCGCTGCTACAGCCTGCTCTGTTAGAGCCTCCTCTGCTACAAACTCCCCTCGCCGTGGGTGACAGCAGCTGCAGCATTGCAGAAGTACACGCCGTGGGAGAGCGGGTCCCACACTGCCTGCCATGCACCCTCCTCCGCCACCACGAATGACACCCCCTCTGCCTACCGTTCTATCACCTGCTCTCCCGATGTCTGCCAATCCGCTATTTGCTCTCCTCCCATCTGCTCTCTCTCCGTCTGCTCTCCCCCCATCTGATCTCCCCCCATCTGCTCTTCCCCGTTCTTCTCCGCCCCCAACTGCTCTCCCCCCACCTGCTCAGAACTACCCTCTGCCCCTCTGTCGGTGACAGCCTTTACTTCTGCAACCATAGCAACCCATGGTGCTGCTGCTTCCATGCCACCCACCACTGCCTCTGCACCGCTTCCCACCACTGCTACCCCTGTCAAAGCACTTGCTGATGCATCCAGAGAAACCTGCCTTGCTGCATCCGCACCACTCTCTACTGCTACCACTGCACCCACCCCTGTCACGCCATCTGCGTCCTTCGCTTCCGCTCCTACTGCTGCTGGCACATCCACCCATGCCCCTACCTCTTCGTCCTTCCCTTCCACTTCTACTGCTGCTGGTACACTCGCCCAAGCCCCCATCTTTTTGCCTTTACCGTCTGCTACTGCCGCTGCTGGCCTGCCCCCTTCCTCAGTCACCTGCTCCCTTCCTCCGCCCCTGCCCTCACTGTGCAGCCCCATGTCTTCACTGCTACGGAGCACTGCACATCCGTATTCTGGCTCCTGCTCCTCCTCTTCCTCCTCTTCCTCCCTCGCGTACAGCCCCATCTGCCTTCGTGTTCTTCTTCCCGGCTCCTGCCCCTTCCTTCGTCTCTGCCCCCACTGCACATACCCTGTTCCTCATGGCTGCGCAACACCAGGAATGTGCACTCTGGCTCCTGCCCCTCCTCCTCTTCTGCTTCTTCTTCCCTTGCGTACAACCCCGCCTCCTTCTCCTTCCTCCCTCTCAGGGCCAGCAACTGCGCCTGCAACTTCCCTATTTGTCTTGCGATCTCCTCTTTTGACCCTTCTGGTTCGCCTGTCCTGTCATACCAGTCCTTTGCCTCGTGCCCCCTGTCTCCGCACTCCTCACATGTCGGTGCCTCTGGCCAGTCCCTACGGCGGTGCCCTGCCTTCCCACATACATCGCAGTTTCTGCAGTGGATCTTTATGTGTCCCGGCTGCCCGCACCTGTAACAGGTACGCGTCTCTGTCTCCTTCTCTGGCCTGTTCTCTCCTCTTGCTCCTCCCCTGGTATCATCGTCGCTGCCCAGGTAGGCCACTTCTTCTTTGCTGGCCTTGGCAGATACGCCTCATATCGTCGTTGCGCCAGCTCCACCTTCTCTGCTAACTCAAAGACTTACTCCAGTGTTGCCTCTGCCCCCAGCTCGTACACGCGCATCTTCAGCCCCCCGCTTAGTCCCTCATCCAAGCCGCCTAGGAACTTGCTGATAAGCATGCTGCTGTCTGTACACATCACGTCCTCTGCCAGGTTAGTCAGCCTCCCGAAGTATGTTAGCAATGACTCTGTATTTCCGCGCATAAACTCCTGAAACTCCCTTATGCGATCTGCCGTGTGTCCAGGGAACTGATTCCGCAACTGGTCCAGAAACAAGGTTGTGTGGGGTCGTCTCCGTCCTCTTCGGCTCGCCTCAGCCACTCGTGCATCTTCATGTGGTACAAGGTCTCAGCTTCCCCTCCCAGTGTGTTGGGCAGGCTCAAAACGAACTCTATGGGGTCCATCCCGCTCCTATCACATCGGTACTTGACGTTTCCGATCCGAATTAGGTAATTCTTCAGGTTCGTCCCTGTCCTAGCGTCCCCGGCGAATCTGACAGGTACCTCCACTTTTGGTGATGCCATGACGCCCCACCTCCCCTTCTTCCAAGTCACTGACACTCCTCTGCCCGTCTGACTGTTCTTTCCACCCTTGCTTCCGATCCCTCGCTCCTCTTCCTTGCACCATACAGCACTTGCTCTATACCCTCTCTGGCCGCCCTTGCTCCCGTTCAGTTTCCTCTTGCCTGCCATGGCCTGTCGTGCCGATCTTGACTCGGGCTTCTTCTCATCGTTTCCCGTACCGCATCCTGTCTTTCCTGCCTCTCCCCGTACCCGTCCTTTCCATCATGGCGGAATCCCTGTCGGTAATTCTCCTGCTCATCACTTCGGCGGTGCTCTTGCCCGAACCACTCTTCCTCACCTTCGCTCTCTCCTCCCCTCGACTTCTCCCCTACTCTGCGCCTCCCTCATCGCTCCTCCTTGTCTCTCCCCTATCCCATACAGCATGCGGTTAATGCCTTCTCTGGCCGCCCTTGCTTCCCCTGCTCCCTCCCATGCCATTGACTACCTCCCGTACCATTCTGGGCTTAAACTCATATTTTTCTCTTCTTTCCATCTCTCCCTCCGCCACTCTGATTCTCCTCTTCGCCCTTCTCTCCTCTAAGGTGAATGCTCTCGTCGGTATTTCTCCTGCTCTCCCCAACCTCGGCGCTCCTCACCCCGTCTTCCCGTTTCTTCTTCTCTTCCTGCCCTTTTACCAGGAGAGGTCTCACGCTGGTCTCACTCCCCTTCACCCCTCCACCCACGTCTCTCTCCCTCTGCCCACCTTCTTGCTTCTCCGCCTGATTCCCTTGCAGCCCTCCTTCCACCCGCGGGTATTCTCCTGCTTCCTCACGCCGAGCTCCCGCATCTGCCCCCGAGTTGCTGGGTGACAAACGTTCACTACCCCTGCCTCTCGCCTCTCCCTCTGGCTGCCGCCTCCTTACTGGCGAGCGCCGAACGCACCTTCCCTCGTAATCCTTGTCCTCCTCCTCTTCCGACCATTCCGGCGATCTCTTTCCTCCCATCGCCATACGCCTCCTTCCCGCGCGGCCTTGTCCTGGATCGGGCGACCGATACACTCCTGCTGGCGCAGCACGGCTCTTCTCCTCCTCCCCTCGTTCCCTTGACATGTGAGCCGGTGGGCGGATGATCTGCTCCTTTGTTTCCTCGACCGTCATCCCGCTCTTCTTCATGATGCTTCTGTCCGTCTGCTTCCCTCTCAGCTTTTCCCTTGAGCTCTTCCCACTGTACTTCGCAATTCCCACTATTACCAACTTCCCGTCACTCCCCTGAAACCCAAAAACCCCTTGGGTAACATTACATGACACATTTCTACACCCTACTACACCCCAACTAGCGAGTAACTGAATTTATTGCATATATCAATATATTCTGTGACAGTGCACATTGACTGCCACAGAGCACGTCATGAGGCGGTTACAGAGCACGATGAAGAGCGAGTGCATGTTAGATTCGACTCACTCACCACCATGACTACTACACCGCATGTGCAGAGCAGAGCATTGTGGAGAGGAAGATGCTAGAGAGGCGACTCACAAGTCACTGACTCATCAGGTGCACAATGACTGCCACAGCGCACGTCATGAGGCGGTTGCAGAGCAGAGCATGGTGAAGAAGAGTAAGAGTAAGGCTAGAGTAGAGTCGACCCAAAGGGCTCTGACTGACTCACCAGGTGCACGATGACTGCGACAGCACACGTCATGAGTCGGTTACAGAGCACGATGAAGAGCGAGTGCTGGAAGTACTCCGAGTCCTCGTCGCTGTCACCGTAGGGGAACTTCATTATCCGCTCCTGCGTTAAAGGCACACAACAAATTCAAATAGCAACCTCGGCAACACAACTGAACCAGCCGGCACATTCGGAGCCATTGAGCTGGATTAAGTACGAAATCCGGTGGTATAACGCAACACAGATGACGCGTCAAGGTTGATTCAATAAGTTTTCTTGTAACAGGGTTGACATTCGGAAGAGCATAAGGCTGGTCATTGTCGCAGCAACGCACCTGGCCAATGCCGTATCGTCAAGCCATATCGGCTTTGTAGGTCACCTCACAAAACTCAAAGCCACGTAAGGGCCATCAGTGTCACAGCGACGCACCTGGCCAATGACTTAAATGGTGAGCGCGCCCACGACGCAATGAATGGGTCGGATTGCTTGCCTTATCAGCTTCGCTAGGCCGTTTCACCAAGTTCGATTCATGCACGTAAGGCCATATGTCGCAGCGACGCACCTGGCCAATGCCATAGACGATGAGCGTGCCCACCACGCCGATAATAGGGTCACATTGTCTTATCAGCTTCCTTAGGTCGCATTTCCGTATCACCTTCGCCGGGTATATTTATCGAAGAATTGTCGCAGCGACCCACCTGGCCAATGCTGTAGATGATGAGCGTGCCCAGCCCACCACGCCAATGACTAGGTCGCGTCGCCTTATCAGCTTCGCTAGGTCACCTCAAAGCGACGCACCTGGCCAATGCCGTAGATGATGAGCATGCCCACCACGCCAATGACTAGGTCGCGTCGCCTTATCAGCTTCACTAGGTCACCTCAAAGCGACGCACCTGGCCAATGCCGTAGATGATTAGCATGCCCACCACGCCGATGAAGCACCATATCAGCTTCGCCAGGTCGCCTTTCGCCGCAGCTTTCCTCCGGTTCAACGAACTCGACCTACAATCAACGAAATTCGCGAAAGAGAAGGGTCGTTCTCGTCGTTTTCTTCGTAGGCGATAGGAAGAAAATCATTGAAGCGACAGCGAACACTCGAATTGACGCTTCTAGACCAACTGGGAAGCTTAAAAGGTTGAAAATCGGCAAACAGCAGGCGACGGAGCAAGAACCGTGGGGACATGGCCACGCGGCGTGCGGCCATACCACGCTGAAGTATACGAGCAACAGGGTGTCCATTAAAGACCATGTTCACCTGCCATAGTCGAGCGTTCTAGAATGCGGCGCTGTCTCCTGCGTCATCCCAAAAAATCGAGCTTCTGAAACTTACGGCAAAGCAGGTCTGAAGGAGCTCTGGGGTTGGTTTGAAGTGACCTACCCTGGGGTTGCTGGCAAACTTGCACTGAAGCTGCTTTTGGACTCGAAACACATCCGGCAAAAACTGGCGACAAATCTGTGCCGCACATCTCGAAGAAGGCAAAGCTACTTCAGCGTAGCTATGAACTCTTCTCAACACATACAGAAATCCGAAGTCAAATCTGCACCGCACATCCCTGCAATCTCGAAGCTGCTTCAGCGTAGCTATGAACTCTTCTCAACACGTGTCCCTCGCTTATTCCCGCTTGCGCAAGCCAATCGGAATTGCAGAAGACAAACACGACCTAATTGGCCGATTTGGCCAGTGAAACGAAATGAGGATTGGGTAACGAGAATTGCTTGCGAAAGATATATATGACTGGTTACTCATCTGGTTACTTGATATTGTGAACCTGCTTCTCTTTAAACTAATTTTGAAAATCTCAATGAACATAACAGGGTAACAATGTTACGATAACTAGTACACTTACGAACTCCACGAATTTGTAAATGGCCTGCCGATATAAAAAAAAAATCATTTCAGCAGACAGTAAAACATATTGATTTCCAACACTTCTCAAAATAATGATACTAACACTTTCTAGCATCGCTGAAATTAGCACGATCAAAATCATTCGTCAATATGACAACACTTTCAACATGCACGTACAGAATGCGTCACCTATCGTTTCAAAAACTGCAAACAAGCATTACATTACAGGTTTCCTATTACATCCACGACACCTAAGGGAATAACATCAGACAGCGTGAAGAGCGCTACACAACACGAACGATAACAGTCAGCTAAGCAAAAAGAACAGAAAGCTTACTTACAGCTTACTTGAGTGAATAAAAAGCGACCTGCAAAACATCCAGGAGAAAAAAGAAAACGCTAAACCAGTTATTGATTAGCGCGAAAAGATTACTAACAGAGCCGCATGCAGAAGAAGCGGGTGGGGGATGATTGTATCACAAAACCTGGCACAATGACCATCTCCAATGCATGGCGATCGGTGAGGCTTGCAGACGACCTGTACAAACAAAGGGGGGAAAACACACGTACAAAACACGTAGAAACTGGTAAGTTACGTACTATCATATGAAACTCGGCGAGAATGAAGACATAACCATGAATATAGGTAAGAAACAAGAAACACACGCGGAAGAAACATAGTAAGTACCTCTGGAAAGGCCGAAGTGGGAGGGCATCCGGCAGCCGATCCCGCGCGTGACTCAACAGGCCGACGCGACGCTTCTCGAAGGGTCGACGGGGTGCGTCGCCGGGGTCAAACGGGAGCGTCGTCGCTCCGTGCGTTGGACCAGGCAGTGGAAAATACATGTGAAAAAACGGTGAAGGGAAAACAGTAGCCCTGGAGTCACGAAGCCGGCGAATCGGGACTACTCGGGAATGGAAGGGAACAGGGTGAAGTGCCGAACGAAGCAGACACACCCACAGAGCGACTGGCAGTCTTCTAAATAAAACAGGCACGAAGTGAAGTGAGCAGGGTGGGGGAAGAGTCCTGGGCTTTGACTACGGAGAATGGGGAGGGAGGATGAAGTCGAGTTGGTTTGCGGTAAGAAAAACAAAAGTCGGCGAAAAAAACAGGATCTTTGTCTAGGGGACAGTTGCACTGTATTTTCAAAAAAAAAATAGCAGCACGGGTACAATCAGGCAACGGTCAGAAGGTAACGAAAATATGCTCACAACCAGCACTTCCACCAACGCATCTGGCGAACCAGTTTTGTTGGGTGTTGCAAGGATGGCGAAAGTGCTGGCAAGGAATGTGCTGGCACGCATGGCACGGACGAAACCCATTGGCTCGAAATAGCCTTGGTGGAATCAAGCTGCATTCCAGATGTGCGTTGGCGAGGTCGGTGAAGCAGGGTGCACCTTGCGCGCCGCGTTTATTCTGTGCTGTATATATGCCAGCTCGACAAATTTGGCAGTTGCTGTAACATTGCTGTTGAATCCTAACAGTACCACTATCACGTTGCACAAATGATTCGAACACGTCCGTCCTATTTACAGTGCTCTTTTCGTCGAATAACTCATTCCCGTTCAATTAATGAAACAACACAAATAGTCAGCAATAGACATGATTTCGGACCACATGCAACGAACAACCAAATCAGTGTGGTGATAATCAGTGTTTGTGTCAGAATTCTCAGTTATGATTGTATCTCAGGTATTTGCGTTACTATTTGATATCTCAAGCGTTGATAACTTTAAATTCCACAGTTAAGTAGGCGTAAAATATATTCGTTCCTGTTAATGATATCTACATGTATATACAACTCTCAATAGGCATTTTTTGGGGTGTAAAAAATAGATGCACGTACATGCGTTTCGACAGACGTTCGTTATTTCTATAATGATTAGGGCTTGACAATTTATGTATTCTTTATATTACAAGCATGCTGGACAGTTTTCCTGCCTTTTTCAGCACCTGGTAGGAAGATATGATGTTTCAAACAAGTGAATAGGAATGCAACGTTATGTCTGTACGACACGCGGTGTTATACTGTGTTCATTTTTATCATTCAACCATTTACTAATTTCCAAGCATGCTGGATTGATTCGGTGTCATTCACAGCATTTGTTATGAACATATGCTTGTCAGGTCCACTGGTGATCCCCGATCGATCCTAGGGAAGGGTTACAGGTTCGTTGTCCTAGGGGGTTATGGGCGCACTGACCCGCTACTTAACAAGCCCTTTTATCCCAGTGGTCTAGTGGCTGGGATTCTGAGATGGTATCAGAGCGAAGGTCTCGGGTTCGAATCCCAGTGTGTGCACTTCGGACATCCCAGTGCGGGGGGGTGTCAGAGGTCCACTGGTGATCCCCGATCGATCCTAGGGAAGGGTTACAGGCTCGTTGTCCTGGGGGGTTATGGGCGCACTGACCCGCTACTTAACAAGCCCTTTTATCCCAGTGGTCTAGTGGCTGGGATTCTGAGAATGCTGTTTCAAACAACTAAGCAGGAAAAACGGTGCAAGGATAGGCTTGTGCGAGACGTGGTACCATATCGAGGTCCGTTTGTTATTTTAAACAAAGATTTCTATGTTCATTCAAGCATTGACTATATTCCATGCATGCGGTACTGATTTGGTGTCATTCGAATCATCTGGTAGGAAGATATGATGTTTCAAACAACTGAGCATGAAAAATGGTGCAAGGATAGGCATGTGCGACACTTGGTGCCATATCGACGCAAGTTTGTTATTTTAAACAAGGTTTTCTGTGACCATTCAAGCATTGACTATATTCCATGCATGCTGGACTGCTTTGGTGTCATTTGGGGTATCTGGTAGGAAGATATGTTGTTTCAAACAACTGAGCAGAAAAAGCGGTGCAATGATAGGCATGTGCGACACGTGGTAACGTATCGACGTCCGTTTGTTATTTTAAACAATGTTGTCTGTGATCATTCAAGCATTGACTATATTCCACGCATGTTGGACTGGTTTGGTTGTCAGAACTAGCAGCAGAAACAAGAACGGACCCACGGGCGACCGGCACAGCAAGGCTCTCTGGGCTACCGAGAGCACGACGGCTCCGGACTACAGGCGCTGCGAACGACACGACGGCGGCCTCCTCTCAGCCTCCCCAAACAGTCCCACCTCCTTTCCACACACCCCCTGCTGCACCCCTAGTTCCACTCCCACGTCACCCCCCTAGCACCACTCCTTCGGCTCCCCACACACCCACCCCCCTGAGCGGCAGCTGCAGCAGCGGGAGACGGAGGAGGAGGAGGAGGAGTAGGGGACGGCGCACACAACCGGCACCCCCACAACCGCCACCCCCACACTCCTCACCCCCAAACCCTAAAACGGGTGGCACGGGGTAGGAGCGCGGGGGACGGCGAGGGGGACGGCGCGCGGCCCCCAGGGCGCCACCAGGGGGCAGCGAGGGGCCGCGCGCGGCTTCCCAGGGCGCCGCGACGGGGCAGCAGGGGGTCGCGCGCGGCTCCCCAGGGCGGCGCGACGGGGAATCGGGGGCCGCGCGTGTTAGAAACTAAGAATGAACGAGGAATGATGAAACTAGGCAGCAGGGTGATACAAGTAGGCAACCCTATCAATGTTGTACCCCCTAAGGCTAAACCCACTATAGCCTACACAATATAGACATATATAATGTTTGACACACCCCCATAGGCTAAGTGGGAGACAACCAGATGGTCACAAGACCAGTCAAAGCAAAGCAAGCTCAGGGTGGATCTCAAGGAAACCACACAAATTCCGAGCACAAGCAAGTGGTCACAAGACCAGTTCACATGCAGTTTGATAATATAACAAGAGGTACAGTGATCACAACCTAGCAAGTGTAAGCATGCAGGTATATATATAGAGAGATCACAGTACAAACAGAGTCAAGAAGTAAGCAAGTGAGGCACAGTAGGCACAAGGCCTAGAACAGTACAGAAACGCTGATGATCACAAGGCTGAAGCACCTTGGTGAACACATCAGCAGTGTTGGCCCGAGTGGCCACGTAGGCAAGACGAAGCTGACCTCGCTGCTGCAGCTCTCGAGCAAGGAAGTAGCGTAGAGCGATATGCTTCGTTCTGTGCTCCAGTCTGTGCTCCTGACACAAGGCAATGGTAGCCTTGTTGTCGACGTACAGCACTGGAGGAGAACGAGGCCGCTCTCCGAGGTCAGTCAGCAGGTAGGTGAGCCAGCGTAACTCCTGTGCAGCCATGGCTGTGGCGTAGATCTCAGCCTCACAACTGGAGCTGAGAACTGAAGACGAGCGAGTAGAACGCCAAGAAACTGAACCAGAGCCAAGGCTGAAGGTGTAACCCTGAGACGACCGCTGAGTAGCCTGGTCGTCAGCCCAAGAAGCGTCTGAGTGCCCAGTGAGGACAACTCTAGCCCGTCCTCCAAGCACGAGCCCCATGCCCGACGTACTGCACAAGTAGCGCAACACCTTCTTAGCGGCATCCATGTGCTCCTTCCGGTGACGGCCAGGAGCGACATAGCGTGCTAGGATGCTAAGAGGGTATGCAAGGTCAGGTTGAGTGCAGGTCATCAGGTACATGAGGCATCCCACAAGCTCTGGATACGGGCCACTCGGCTCTACGGACTCATCCGAAGGCAGAGCTGAGAGCGAGTGACCGGTAGGCAGAGGAGTGGACTGGGGCGAGGAGTACGTGAAGCGGAAGCGCTGAAGGACCTGCTGCACCATGTGTGACTGAGTCAAGGTGATGGTGCGCTGTGCTCTGTCCCGGATGATCCGCAAGCCAAGATAGCTTGTCAGTTCACCCAGGTCTGTGCACGTGTGTCTCTTCTGCAGCTCCGACTTCACGTGAGCGAGTGCCTCAGTGTCAGCAGTAGCAAAGACCAAGTCGTCTACGTAAACGAGAACGTAGAACGGCGGCAGAGTGGTGTCGGTGCGTAGAAACAGCGACGGGTCAGCAGTAGAAGGAGCAAACCCAAGCGCAGCAAGAGTAGTCCTCAGTGTGTCGTGCCACTCACGGGGTGCCTGGCGGAGACCGTAGACTGGCCGCCGGAGGCTCCACTGGGTACCAGGAGGGAACGACCCAGTGAAGCCAGGTGGGCGGCGCAGCCAGATCTCCTCGTGCAGGCTGCCCTGTAGGAACGCAGTGCTGAAGTCAAGAGAGTGGAGCTCGTAGTCGCGCTGAGCGGCGACGTGTAGCAGAACCCGAAGAGTGGTCATCTTCGGGGTCGGGGAGAAGGTCTGGAAGAATTCAACTCCCTCTCGCTGACTGAAGCCTCGTGCAACGTAACGCGCCTTGAAGACAGGCGGAGAACCCGGCGGCCGCTTCACCCTGAAAATCCACATGCCACTGACGATGTTCGCCCCAGGTGGGGGAACCTCGTCGACGTAGGTGCCTGTGGACTTCTAGGAGGCCATCTCTGCGTCCATGGCTGTTTGCCACTGAGAGGAGTAGGGACCCTCCATCGCCTCTGCGTAAGAGCGTGGGGTCGGGATGTCTGGTGCATCCGGGTCTCCCTCAGGGGCAATCAGCATGGACACGAGATGAGGCAAAGCAGCGGCAAAGCACTGGAACTCCTCCTGCCTGTCCTCAAGGACGTCCGTGCCAAGAGCACACTCACCCCCGACGGACGGAGGACAGACAGACTCAGACTCAGCAACAAGGCTAGCGGCGTAGTCTAGACGACAGGCGGCAGCAAAGTCAACTAGCTCAGCGACTAGAGCAGACGCAGCAGAGGACTCAAAGGTAGGGTCAGTGACAACAGTGGCGAGGAGACGCGTGACAGTAGGACTGGCAGCACGAAGGGAGTCAGACTCCGGGTCAGCAAGAGCAGGAAGAGAGGACGCAGGAGGAGACGGCAGAGGGACACGCTGTGGAGCAGTG